AACATAAAATTCATGTTCTTCTATATTTTTAGAATAGATCAAGATATCATCTAGATATTAAACAACAAAATCGTCCAAAAATTCTCAAAAAACATCATTCATAAGATGTTGAAAAGTTATTGGTACATTTATAGGTCCAAAAAATATGATATTATATTCAAAATATCTGTACTTAGTTTAAAATGTACTCTTCCATTCATCTCTTTTTTTGATGTGTATCAAATTTTATGCTATTTATAGATCTATTTTTGTATAGATTTTAGGTTGATTCAACTGATTATGAAGTTTAAATGTTAAAAGTAGTGGATATATGTTATTGATAGTGATCTTGTAGAGTCCTCAATAATTAACACATATCTACAATGATCCATCTTTTTTCTTTATAAATAGAATTAAAGTTTGTGCTGGATATTTGAAATAGTGTATAAAGTTCTTGCTTAGATTTTTTTTAATATATCCTTTGAATTCAGCCAATTCATTAAGTAATAAATTGTAGATTATTCCAAATAGCAGTTGTGATCTTTTTTGAAAGTTAATTGAGTATTCATATGAATAATATTCTAGAAGAGTATCTACATTCTTTTTTTCAAATACATCTTGAATTTCTTGGTATTGGCTTGGAATGCCACTTGAAGTCTTTATACCATTAGAAATGGATGTGGCATAAATGACACAAGGTGATCATTCTTTTGTAGCATGCAAAAAAGCTCTTGCTTCTACAAACACAAGTTTAATTATACGAGACTTATGATTTGCTACTTGATTAGCTACACTCTTAGTTATACTTTTAAAAAAGTCAAGAGTACAAGAAATCCAATCTACTCAAGGATTGTATTTTTTTAACTACAATAAGCCTAAAATGATTAGATTAGAGAGAGATTTAATGATATTAAATACCAAAAAATTATTATGACCATTGATTATTACTTCTATTAGAAAGATTTTATGAATAACATCTTTAGAAGACAACTGACAACCATCTATGACTTCTACATGAATAAGTTTAGTTTTCTTCACTAAAAATATATTAAGTCTTTTAGCAAATTCTTCATCTAAGAAATATGCTAAGGCTCCTGAATCTAATAAGGCAAAAGCTTTGTAATATTTAATGTAAAACGAGGAGAGAATTCTAAGAAGAGAACATGACCTTTATTACGTATTGTATAAGATTTTAGCCGCGTAATTCCTATTGTAGCTAAAAAAAAACTTATTTTTTGATATATTTTCTTTTTTGACATTTGTACTCTGCATTTTATAATTGTGTCACTTTTTTAGACAATGTTGAACAGTGTGCTTAGGTTCTCCACAATATAAGCACAATCCTTTCTAATAGCAACGAGTCTTTTCTTATTCAATAAGATGTTTGAAATATATTGTATCAATTTGCTTATCCTCTACTTTTAAATATATATATTCAAGAGGCATTGGTGTTACCATTTAACTATAGTAACATTGACGCTCACTTGTCCGACTCTCAAATTGAAATTTGAAAAATCGATTGTTACACTTCATAGCAAAATTAATTGATTGATTCAAAGTTTGAGGATCAGGTACATTGAACATTAATTTTTTTACTTCATATTGTAATTCATAAAAAAATTGGCTAATAAATGTAGCATCATTATACTTGATATCAGTTACAAGTTGTCAAAATTAAAAAGCATATAATATTATGGATGGATTGTTTTATCAAAAAATATGGATGTTATTGATTGCAACATGACTTGTATTATATTCTCCATACATGGATTCAAACTCTACTAAAAAATCTCTAAATTATCTAATATTAGATCTTATTGTTCAAGAAAAGATGAAAACCATGATAATGTTGAATTTAAAAGAAGTATATCAATGAATCTAACTTATGATCTTAGAATTGGATAGCTTTGGAGTTGAAGTTCAATCACAAGTTATACTTGATTGATAAATCCTCAAAACTTAGACCTTGTGCCATCAAACTTCTCAGGCAGAATAACTCTTTGTTTATTAGTACCAAAAGGTTGTTCCATTGTATGAGAAAGGACATGATTTGATATAGATGTTGAAGCAGCTCCAATCATATGTATATCTTTATTTCCTATCATTCTTATTGCTCTTTGTAGTGGTAAATTGAGTTGATGCATTGCAAGCATTAACTCCCTCAATTGCTCTTCCATTTATGTCATTGCACTCTTCATTTTAACAAGCTTTGTCATGATTATACTTAAAAAAAAATATATATCAAGTCATGTAGAAGAGAGAACTAGATATCAAAGAAGATATTAAGAACAATATCAGTTTAAAAGAAGGTAATCCACAACTTCTAATATATTTATGTCTTATCAAGAGAAATATATAATCTACTCTTAATCAAGAAAATATAAGGTTTTGATATTGTAAATATACTCTTATTAATTTTTCAGGAATGAGAACTCGATGAAAGTAAATAAATAAATATAATAAAATCAAAATAAAAAAATATGTATATTAAAAGAAAATTGAAATAGCTATTGTCAAAAGACAAGAAAACCAGAGATTCCTAAATCTAGACTAAAAGGAAGAAAAGAGTTGACAAGAGTAAAGAGGGCTTTATTCTTGTCTTTATATATACTATATAACTAAGAGATACGTGGCAGTGTTCTATAGCACTTCTAATATGTGTTGACTTTATAAGACACATGCCTTAGCTTACAAGGCAAGTTTTTCATATGTACGCCATATAGTTAGCTTATCCTTCAAGCTACCAACATGTGTGACATATGGCTAACTTGTTGACTATGTTTTTAACCTAAAAAGTCAATTATAGATACATATGAAATCAAAGCAACGTCTATAAAGCTTCTAAAAAGCTTCTATAGAAGATGTTATGGAATTAACCTATTTTTACATATTTTTATCTAATTGTATAGGTAATTATTGGTTTACATGTGTGTGTCCGAGACACATTCTTTTTTTTGGTCATGCTCTTCATTGTTAAGTGTCATTACCAAAATAGTATCACACTTAAAGATTAGATGATTTTTTCAAAAATTATATATAGATGAAATTTTAAATTTTTCATCCATGATGATTGAATTTTTCTTTTACTACAAGCTCAAAAAACATGTGACATAAAACATAAATGTGTTATAATATGTGAATTATATAAATGAGGAGGATAAAATATTCATGTTCATAAATGAAGTAGGCCCCAAGTCATAAAGTGCTTCATTCCTAACACATGGAAATGCAAATTTTGAGATCCCAAGTCATAAAGTGCTTCATCCCTTACACATGGAATGGAAGTGCAAATTTTGATATCCCAAGTCATAAAGTGCTTCACCTCTTATACATGGAAGTGCAAATTTTGAGAATAGGTGGACTTTACCTTCCATGGATCACCTGTGTGGGCAAAGTATAAGATTAACGTTGCCCACCGTTCAAGCATGGAAGGAGGGCCTTAGCCTGAAATGTGAGGGATTTCTACCAGAAAACTGGGTTAAGTTTATGGAAGAGAGTATAGTTTGTTTGGCGGTGCGATATGGTCAGCGTCTCTCTGTGCGCTTACTAGCACCAAGTTCATCGTCTTCAATAACTCCGCATCGTCCGATCCACAGCTGCTGTGCTCGTTTGTGGATTGAGCTACGAATTTGAGGTTGTGATGAAGGTCTAAAAGCTACGGTCAGTTTGTTGCCAGTAGTCTGTGCCTCAGTATGGCTTCTCATGGCAACTTGCATGGGTTGGAACCACCAGGTCGGCAATAGGCCCCGTGGGCCCTGATCACCGCAGTAGAGGGAACCCTCTGAATCATCAAGTTGAGAAATCTGTCATTCCAACAGTCCTCAATCTGTGGAGGGGAGTTCAATGACTGCGTTTGGAAGAGGTTGGGAAGGGGCTTTTAGAAGAAACGGGTTTGAGACGACTAATCTTTTAGCTTCACAAGTAACCTGGACCATATATAGACATACAATCCCTGTCCATAAGAAACAATTTCTGGACCTTAATGCTGTGAGCCCAGCGAAATAGAACCCCTCTTTAGAATCCCGATGCTGCGGAAGGCAAGAAACTGTTCGAAAGTAGTTCATTAGACACATTGCGGCTGCAACGGAGTTCATATTCTGGATTTTGGGTGTTTAGAATTTGCGGTCCGTGCCTTCAAAGTGCCGGGAGAACCTGAGTCTTTTAAGGGAATATTTAATAGTGGCCAGGACGGAGGCACCTAGTCAAGGAGCCATAGTGACATTCAGAGCCTTTAGACTATGTAATAGGTTCCATTTGATCGACGCATATAGCCTGCGGACTACAGATTAATTGATTAATCTTATTGTAAAAAGCAAGAAACGCGAACGTGGCACGCAAACGCAATGCATAGAAAAAAGCACGGAATTATGCATAATGGCATACATATGCATTCTAGATGTGTGATCATTTCTGAGTCAGTTCAGACGTCGTAACACGAAGTGCTTCCGGAGCAAGTATCCTCCCGCGCCCCTTTCACGAAGCAAATCATATCATGTGCGATCAAGTTTTGTTCGGAGAGTAAAGTCCACATGATATCAGAGAATTAAGCCAAGCGTTACATAGCGATCACAAGAACATTGACTAAAGCGCCTATCTCATATTAGATCATAGCAGAATGTGAGGAATTACATGCTATTCACACGCTATTTTTAGTCTTAGGCCCACATGATACCAATTCACGGAATCCCGCGAAAAGGTTGTTAACATGGGGTCTAGTAAGAACTCAATCAGGCAATTCAGTACGACATGGATATTGAATTTTTCCAGGTTACAGCTCGACGATGCGGAAATGATGAAAGATTCTAGAATCGCTTGAGTGAGGTATAGTCGTTGAGCCCTATGCATTTTTTCAAGAGGTTGGCATGGTGAGCTTAAATTGTTCTGTCGCAAGGATTATTCATGCTCTAAGTGCTAACTTTTGCAGACCACAAATAGACTAGCAGATAGCCAGAGCTGGGCGTTAAAATCCGTGATACAATCCTTGCTTAGATGTGCAGTTGCACACGTGTACATGGAAGTGAACTTGTGAATGAGGCAGTCAAGAATGGCAATTCTCAGTCCGCTGATCACCTTTGAAATTATTGATTCAGTCATACGCATACATTGAGACTTATGTATTGCAAAGCACTAGAAGACACCTTCTAAATTAATCTCACGAAACCAAACCCCAAACCCTGATGCATCTTCCTGGAGCGAAGTACATCACTGCCAAGTAGCTGGGTAGTGATCAATCTACCCCCACACACATCCAGCTCGGAAACTTCACCGAACAAAGATTCTGCTTTCGTTTTCCTAGGCAAGGAGATTGAAAAATAGCTGCGATTCAACGCTCTTATTGTAGGGTTGATTATCTATCATGGTGTCATTATTTGATAAAAACACAACCTTGATGTGAGTTTCAGTTATTGCATCCTGATAACAGGAGTGAATTCTACAAGAATAATTTTTACATGCATGCTAATGTGAATTGGCATATGAAATTGTTTCGAACGTGTTTAGTTGTGTAACATTTTCCTCCACCTGGCCATGCCTGTCAATGCGACTGATCTACAGTGTAATTGTGGGGCGACTCTTTTCACTGCCGAAGTCGTTGCTTGATAGAGTTGAGAGGTTTGAAGTTAATGCTCCATGTTTCGACATATCGAACATTTCGCCATCGCCCCAGAGAGCATAGGCTTCCTCCCCGTGCTCGGCGTCGTCACCGACAAGAAGGTGTTCATCAGTCATGCGGAGCGGCATCACAAGCTTGATAACATTGAGGATGATACTCGTCATTACCACGTTCCATGCTGTGATGAAGAGAGCGCCAACGATCTGTTTTCCGAGCTGCTTACCCCCAACGCCACCGTAGAAAGCACCCCGCTCACCCAAGACGGGGAGGAAATAGTCGCAGAGGGTGGGCTCAGCGAAGCATCCCACAAGAAGACCGCCCACTAAACCCGCTACTGCATGAGTATGGAACACGCCCAATGTGTCGTCCACCCTTTGAAGGATGCTGGATCTCTTGTGGACCACCATCATTGTAAACCAGGGCACTGATCCGGCGAACACACCCATCACGAGCGCCGCCCAGCCTTGCACGAGACCTAAATGTACAGATCGTAGAAAGGAACTACGTCAAATTTTTATCAGAAGTTTCAGATCTAATGTGCAAAATGCCACCGTGAAAAATGAGCTCAAATGCTTAGTTTAGGAATCAGAACAGGAAGCTCGACTGGTTACCTGCAGCGGGAGTGATGACGACAAGACCCGTGATCATTCCTTGCACCGCGCCGATCACGGACGGCTTTCCAAAGATAAGCACGTCCAGGCACGTCCACACCAACAAGCTGGTGGCAGCACACACATTGGTGTTCATTACGGCGATGGAGGCAATTAAATTAGCGGACAGTGCAGCGCCGCCATTGAACCCTGCCCACCCCATCCACAGCAAACCAGCTCCGGCAAGCATAAGCAAAACGTTGTTTGGCGGGAAACGCTCCCGGTCTTTCGTCAGCCTAGGCCCAACCTGCACAATCAACACACAAAACATCACGTAAGCTACACACTGCGAGAACCTTCACAAAAGGAACATTCAAATCCATCACGAAGAAGAAGAATCCTTCCACGTTGTAGACTGTGAACGTTAGATACTGTACCCAGTAAGCAGCTACGAAGCCACCGATGCCAGATGAGAGATGGATGACAAAGCCACCAGCGTAGTCGATCACTCCCCATTGCCACAAAAATCCGCCACCCCAGAGGCTGAATGCGCCCACCGTGTACGAGCAAGTCAACCAAAGCGGGACGAACAACATCCATGCGCGGAAGCTCATACGTCCCAAGACGGACCCCGCCAACAACACCAGGGTGATGGCCGCGAAAACGAACTGGAAGTACACAAGAGATGCCATGGGGAAGAACGGCGTCAGAGCGTACGTTTCGATATCACCATTTTTGTGGTAATGTGCGGTGGAGGGAAGTTCTGCTTGCGACAGCAAGTACTTGTAACTCAGCGTCGTCCCCGCCTTTCCCCAAATCGGGATGAGCTTCTCCCCGAAAGACATCTTGTACGCCCACCCCACCCAGCACAGCCACACTGCCGCGAAGGCGTAGAACGCCATGAAGGCGGAGTTCACGGCCCATTTCTTCTTCACAATGCTGCCGTAGAGGATGACCAGCGCCGGTACGCTTTGAACCCCCACCAGCGTGCTTGCCGTCAATTGCCACGCATTGTCGCCCTTGTTCAGCCAAGCAGGTGTCACGCCTCCTGTCTGGTTGTAAGCTATTGGGACTGTTGGCAAGGCGTCCGCCATGATTCTACCGACTTAAGTTATGTTTCCTCGATTTCTGCAATCCGTCTACTCGTAGATGGCTGCTTTTGCCGAAATCTGCTCTCAGGAACGATTCAAGGTCAAAGTGAGATCGCAATATCGCCGACACGAATTCTCATGAGCATCCAGAAGACGACCATGACGCTGCAGAATTGAGCAGAGGATGGGGTGGACATAGAGGGCGGGATGTTTTACAGGAGATGCATGCGCTAAAGGCATGAGGTTTCTAGGCGGCAGTGACGAGTAGCTTTGTCAACTTATCAAAACCCCACTGACTGGCATCTCAACCATGGTGTTCAAAAACCGACTCTACTTGTAGACAGACAAATTTTGGCGCTGTCGGGACAAGTTACCCATGACAAGATTTAATCTAGCACTGGATGCGTTAGTCTGTGCTGATCACACGAGCTAGCAAGTGGCGATGTCTACAGAAAAGCTTAGAGGGGAGCTACCATGATGACACTGATTCGCGACTCCAGACTGCAATTCTAGAAAACTCCTAGCGGTAATGGTTAAGAGAGATGTTTTCCAGAGCGAAAAAAAACTATTTCGTTCATTGTTTAGGTAGAATCTCCACTTACCAAAAGCTCAAAGATGCGTTAGGACGGTAACTTTGAAAGTTGGAACATTAATCTCAAAGGTTCAATACCAAACTTCAGAACTGTATAAGACACACAAAGCTTTACAACACTGCAACCACTCGGCGGTACCAGACTCCCTTTCCTTGGTACAGAACACATTACCCTGAGAGCGACAGAAAACAAACACACCTCGGAAAGACAAGCTCCACACGATCTGAACATAGAGGAACCTAGTTCGCAACGCAGGGGACGGCCTGAAGGATCTGGGTCATGGCCTAACACACATTTTTAAGCAGCAGCAACTCAAGAAAGCGGCATTCAGTTGACGATCTGGTCCCGATATGCGAGAGTCCGAAGTTAGTGCCAAGACGATGGGAGCCTCTCGATTGGCGCCAACTTGCAACAGTGCGGCATTGTGCAAGAGCCAGATGCTGATACGGTTGGATTGCTGGGAAGCTGCGGGAAACTGGCAGGCTTACGGTGCGGTCCCGGCTTCGCAGAACAGTGCCACCCACATGGGGCCAGCTCGGCTCCAGCGCGGGGCACTAGCGAGCAACAGCAGGGGAGACTGGTCGCTACGGGTGCGCTGCAGATGCGAAGGCCCGTTGGCGGCGTCGCGTCACGCCTCCACCCGCGCTTGTCCACGCCGCCGCCGTCACTGATCCACCCCTTCACCCCCTTGCCCCTCTCTTGCTTACATCCCATTTTGTGTTCAGAGTGAGATGTGGGGAAACACGTTGTACAGGAGTGCTAAAAACAAGGTGTGTATGTGTGTGGTTATTAGTCAGAGATTGGTCATTATTGAGGTTTGGAAGAAAATACTCGGAAGAAAATATTTGTTTTAGATGGAATGAGATGTGTTCTTTTTATTTGTGTTGTTGTGTTTTTAGATTGGAACTTGCATCAATGATGATGGTTTGTTTTAACAAATGGTTTGTTCAGATTGTATTGTTATTGATTATGATAGTTTTGTAAGTAAGATATTTAATCCAATGATAAATGTTTTTCTAGTGATGAAAATATGTTTCGTAATTTTATTATTTAAGATATAGTTATTTAATTTTATTGAGATAAAATGACTTGGCACAACTTTTGGAACAAAATTTGATAATTTACATTGGAGGTTAATTTTTATCATCTATTTTAGATGTATAACTTCTTTCTTTCTTTCTTGCTTTCGTTCTTTCTTACAGATTAATTGATTCTTTAAATGTCTACATTCTTCTATTGATTTTTATGCTTGAAACATTTTAGCTTAGTGCATTATGTTTTGATGTTAGGCTTAAACTCATATATAATATTGTTTGTTTATTAATTTGACCCTATTTTTATGCATGATTATTTAAAAAGAAATAAATAATCCTAACATGTTTAATAATCAAAAAAAAAAAATATATATATATATATATATATATATATATATTATATAATTTTTTAATATGAGTAAATTAATTTTTTTAAGATATATTACAAAAAAACTAATAACATTGAATATTTACTTGCAAAATCATAAAATTTTATTCAATAAAAATCATAATATCTATATATGTAATTTTTATTTTATGATTTTGCAAGTGAATATTCAATAAAATAAAAATTGCATATGTAGATACTATGATTTTTTTTGTAAATAAATATTTCGGTTTAGAGATTTGTTGCATTATTTGGTAATAAGAATTTTCAACTTCAAATATACACCTCCAAATTTTAAGTTTTACACTTTCTAAAATTATAGATAGAGTTATAGATAGTTTTATTTTGAGCATTATACATATCTATAATGCACAAAATAAAACTAAAGATATTACAATGGATTTGATAAATTATAGACAATGTATGTTTTAATTGGATTTAATTGATACATCAAAAAATATGTACTAGAAGCATATTAGATCAATGCTTGTGAGTTTTAGTTGTTATTAACTCTTCAAGAGTTCCAATTATAACCATGTTTTTCACATGTCTAATTCTAAGATTCAAAGATTATTCTTTCAACTAATCTTATCCATCTCTACATACATGTGCATATGCATGTATGTTTATATATATATATATATATAAATATATATTCATGCATAAACCATATATCATAAGATGTAATAGAGTAGTATTGAGACTTCATTTTTAGTATATTTTTAAATGATACAAAATTTATATTATAAATAAATAATATTAAACAGAATTATATAACACCAAATGCAGTAGCCAGAAGAGTTCATCCCTCTTTAAAAAACTAGTGTATAAGATAATCTTTACTCAACCATAAAAATATCACCATCAAATATACATATTTATATATAAACACATGGCATGATTGACCAAAATTTTCACTTAGATACAAAGCAATATTATTTAATTATATAAACTTGATTCAATTCAATTAAATTCAATCAAAATAACAATAAAAATATGATTTATTTAAAATTTAGGAAACACAAAAATACATACTATTATGTTATTATGTATACACAAGCAGCCAAATAAAATCACTTTTAGTTTTTCTTTGTTTCTTTTGACAATCACAAAATATATATATATTTATATATATGTTAAAAAAAATCTAATTTATTCTAAGAAAAAAGAGCCAGCACAAAATTGTCAATTATGTTTCCATATATCTTGTCTTTTTTTTGGTGAAAATTATACTAATACATGAATTCTAATGCAAGTTGAATTGCATCGAAATAAGTGCTTGTGCATGTGCACTGAAACATGGGCATATTCACAATAATTCATATATTTAAGACATGACAAGTCTTACATTGAGAACATGTAAAACAAGCCTTCATGTCGGAACCATACAGTATTGGGAGTTTTTCAAAGTGCATTATATAAATATTAGTAATTTTAATAATGTAATAGAATTATTAAACACATTACATATATGAATATATGTATATATAAGAAAAAACTAGTTTTAAAACTAGATGAAAGACAATAAATATAACAAATTTATCCTATTATAAACTAAAAATAAACTATATTTATTTATTAAGACTATCAATAAAAAGTAATTTTAAAATTTTTAATAATAAAATAAAATAAATTTGACATGTTCATTATTGAACTTAATCTGAATATACAATGATAAAAGCTTATAAATAGATTTAATTTTTTTAAAAAAAAAAAAAAAAAAAAAAAAAACTTAAAAGAATTTGATGAACTTCAACAGCAATTTCTTTTACTGGTGTTTTGTAATGTAAATTTCATAAAATAAAAAAATCATGCTATTTATATTTTATTTTTATATATAAATAAAATTAAAATAATTAAAATTTTAATTTTTAAGTTCTATCAAAGCAATGTTGTTTTCTTCTAAAACATTCCATATCATAATACCAATGAATATTGTTGTATAATATGTGTGTATATATATAAGGTGATATTTACTATTATGTTTGATTTTATGAAGACTAAAGACTCTAGAATATCAAATATTATTCAGATAATTACACAGATTATATATTTCAAATTTCTTTAGTTATTATAGATTTATTTTTTTACTATCAATGTAAAAAAAATACATAATCACTTTAATTTATTTACATGCAATATAATTTATTTGAAAATATCACAAATATCCGGCATTGTAGTTGATACATGTAATTATAAAATTCTTTTAAAAATTCTTAAGCAGATTGTTTTTGAAACCATCTCCAATTTCATCTAATATGCATATTAATGAAATTAAACAACCTTATTTCAATGAAATGTCATGTAAACTATAAAATAAATAACTAAATAAATAAATAAATAATAGATTATTTGAATTATAAACCACAACTTAAAGAATTGATTTTTGTATAGCAAATAAAAAAATAATGTATGATTTAGTGTTTTAAAATAAAATATTAAAAATAAATAAATAAGTAAATAATAAAATAAAAATTTATAAACTTAATTTTAACAATTAAAATTTTAAATTATATTAAAAATGGAGCAAATTTGTGAAATCCATACTTAAGACAAAGTAGAGTCAAGATGGGGTAGAGATGGGGGGTGGAATTGAGATAGGGTAGAGACAAAGGGTGAGGATGGAGGATGGGAACAAGGGAGGGGGGTTGGGAACATGGTTGAGGACAAGGGACAAGTACAAACTGGATCATGAGGTGGAAAGGGAGATGTTGCTTTAACAACTCTTATTATGAATATTAAAAATTAACTCCATAAGCATTAGAATTTCTTTGAAAAGTTTTTGAAGATATTATATAGTAAGTATTATAATTAATCTTATCATCATAATATACAATATTGATCAATATTCAAAACTTTGTATTCATAATTTTTTTCATTTGCTATAGATTGAAACTATCAAATATATTTATAAGATGATAGTTATTATGATTTATTTAAAATTTATTTAATTCTTTTTATTAATTTTCTAATATGTGTACACAATTATTTAACAAATTAATATATACAAGTCTCAAGGATATGAATAACAAACAATAAAAATCTCAATATACTCTTGTGTTATTAGAAAACAATATAGATTCACTCAAAGATAATATAATATTAAACCTAGGATGGATATTACTAAAAACAAAAAGACTAGAGACTCTTGAAACAAGAGTAAGAATAAAAAAAGATATTAACAAGAATAAAGAAGGTCTCCATTTTGCCTCCATATATACTATCTAACTACAAACTATGTGGCGATATTCTATAGGACCTTTAACACTTGTCTAACTCATGAAACAGATTTCTTACTTGTATATTAGTTCCTTTAATCTTGGTAAATATGTATATTAGTGATAACAAGTTCTTTTTGTAATTTCTTGAATTTTCTTGCATATTAAATTGATTTGAAACTTCTTTTTTCATAATTAGTATTCTATTTACATTAATAATTTTGTAAAATTTACCACATTCTTTTTGTCCATGCAACTCTTATTATACTAAATTGAATAAAGAATTAAAGACAAAATCAATTAAAAAAAGATTATTTGTTTCTACTGCGATCAAAAATAAACTTTGTTTTCAACAATGTTATTATCATGTAATGAACTACAACTATTACCTACCTCATTTAATCTTTCAAGAACGGAAGGTTTGTATGTAACAGTCTGAGAACTAGGGTTTGGAGTTTCAAGGTTCGCATCTCAAAGTTTGGAATTTTAGGGTTTGACATGGATTACCTTGAAGCCTCAACGCTGACCATGCTTGCGGCTTCAGATGAGTTGAGCAGAGTCGAAAAGGAAAGCGATCTCCTGCACGGTAAGTGGAATTCGACTTGTGTACATCGTTTCGCTTGCTGCATCACTCGTTTGTGTCGCTACCCGATGTCTGTGAAATGCCTTGCAAATGCCCTGTGTGAGGCATTCCATACTGTTGCGTTTATCTCAAGGCTCCGATGGCCCTTCTTCTTTCTCAAATGCGACTGACAATGAGACCTATATGAGTTTGGGCATTCCTCGCCTCTTTACTCCATGTAAAATGTTTGATTTGTTAGGTTTTTGTAAACTGAAAATCAACGATTTCTTGCAGAAAAGTCCGTTGCCTGAATGATCTGAACTATGTGGGAAATGCGCATATTCAGTGTGGCCTTTGCTAAGTTGATGGTCGTTGATTTGATGTGTTTGCTGCTGAGATTCAATCAATATCAAGAGTCAGATTTTGCAATGTGGGCACCTTTGTTGTGTGTTGTGATGAAAAGGGTAAAGTTTCTTAGCTGTAATATTTGAAGGATTGTGGCTTTCCCTCTTCATGTCGAGACTTCGAGTTGATATTAGTTGATCTCGGTTTGTATTAGGGCTCATCAGTGCAAAGACGGATATACTGAAGTAACTCACTGAGTCAAATAAGTGTGATCCACTTGACCTCCTTTAATTTTAGTCTCCGGGTTGATTTAATGTCCATTTCAGTCTGCTTTGTTGCTTTCTCCCTCCACAAACTATAGATTGCTTCGAGGATCTGTCGCTGCTGAATACTAGGCTAGAGAATGCTTGGCGTGTTTATAACCAAATACTATAGCCGATTTTAAGCAGATTAACTGGAAATCGCTTTTGATTGCGAGAAATAGCTTTAATATATTTTAAAGAAACGCCGCAAGGTGAGGGAGTATGTATTGTCAAAAGATCCACTTGCAGCCACTCTATCAAGTGGGACCCATCACTGGATATAAGGAGCGACGTATGATTCGTTGAGCTACCTGGAATTCCTCACCTGGGTCCAAGTCGAATTAAGAATTACTTTAGAAGTGTCATTTTCCCCTAAAATATCGCAGAGGATGTCTACATAGATTTTCGTTCTTTTGATGATAGGATACATCTTTGGTGTAAGAACATTGGCAAGTATATAGTTTAGCATTGCTACTTGGTGATACACATGTGCTTAGATATGTGCTGTCGGTACATATTTAAACTTGGTTGCTTTTGATAGATCCACAAATGGAAAGAAGGTTCTTAAGACGAGGCTGCTTTGGACTAATCACTGTGATTATCTAGAACCTAACTACCTTACTGTCGTGATTCAGATGTGGCTATACTGTTACATAGTTCGCCTCAATCAAGTTATTAGTGATTTCATCTGAACATTCTAAGAATTTGGATGAATATGTTGTCGAAGTGGTATTGTGATGAGGCAGGCAAGTGATGTTTCCATATGTTTCTATTGACCCGGGCTATGGCACTGATTGATTGTAAAATTAGTCTTTTGCTCCTATCTGATGCCTGCTCATCACTGTAGTTTTATTTGTCTATGAGAGCAGTCGGGGTGGGTGATCCTATCTCCTATTCCGCTGTAGCAGCCCCTATGGGAAGGTGTTTTGGCATGTATCCGATTTCGAGTCTGTTTGAGTAATGCTTCGTGTTATGGAGTGGTTTCTGCCGCACTAAGAAAAAATGATAGATGAGTATAAGATTGTGTAAGTTAGAATTTGATTACCTCTCTATACGTGGCTACCAACTACCTATTGCTTCTACTTCTATTACAATCTATGAGACTTTTCCCTTCTCAGTCAATGTTTTAGTGCTTGTTGTGGAAAGTTTTGGAGGTTCAGATGGGTATACGAGCCCAAGGCTAAAAGAATCATGATGGATCCAACTTGCAAGATGTCATGCACTCAAACCTTATTATCCTAAATTAAGACAATGAGATTCACAGCGATGTAATAATTTGGGTATCTTTGGGTTTCAGATAATTAGACTTTGGCTCTGGAATTGCATGAAGTGATGCCATTGGTTTTCAGATTGGTCCCAGTACCTGAACCAAAGTGAACAACGCATCCTTTTTCATGAGGCACAAGCTTGGATGTCACTATGATCATTTTCCGTTCCATCAGTTGAGGTATGGGAGATTTTTGGGTGGGTATGAAACTGCTGTAAGTCATTGATTTTTCTTTTCTTAGCTGGGCACTAGTCACACTATTTATGCGTAGCAATCAATGTGTAAAGATCTCATGTGCCATGTGGCAGTTTCACAAACGTGGTAGTCTTAGCTCAGACTTTTCGTGAGCGGAGGTTGAATTGGGAAAAGGTACATTCCACCATTGTGAAGTGGATGTATGTAGCATCTCAAAGAATGTTTGAACAGGTGAGTAGTATATCACGTTGGATCCCTCAAACAAATACAAGTCAATATTCCCATTAAAATTCAATAAATCAATAGGAGAGAAGGGATAATAATGGGTTACATCTTTATTCATTCATTTATTTATTTTGAGATCCCTTGTATTGTAATCTCTTGGAGGATTAGCCTTCTAACAAGATTCTCATGTTGGTGTTCACAATTTAAAAGTAACTAAGACATGGCTTCAGAATGGTTGCTTAACTTAATAAATAAATAAATACATATGTGATTATTTTTGATAAATTACTTCCTCTTTTTTTCTGAAAATAATTTATACTTGCTGTTTATTACATCACGTTCTTCGCAATTGTAGAATCTTTTAAAATAAAATAATTTTTATTTTCATTATTATATCCTTCCAACCTCCTCCATCCCTTCATTTGTGTTTCTTTTTCTTGCCGTTTTTTCAACCAATGAATTAAGATTCTGGCCACAAGTTGCTGTACACACATCCATTATGTCTATACACACCCAAGGCTTTTGATTAGCTCATCCAGATCCCCTGTCCTTTGTCTCAGCATGAATCCCAGTCCCCCTCTTTTTTTCCTTTGCCCGGATCCCAGTCCCCCTCTTTTTCTCCTTTGCCCGGATCCCAGTCCTCCTCTTTTTTTCCTTTGCCCGGATCCCAGTCCCCCTCTTTTTCTCCTTTGCCCGGATCCCAGTCCCCCTCTTTTTCTCCTTTGCCCGGATCCCAGTCCCCCTCTTTTTCTCCTTTGCCCGGATCCCAGTCCCCCTCTTTTTTTCCTTTGCCCGGATCCCAGTCCCCCACTTTTTCTCCTTTGTCCCGGAGTGGGTCCCGACCCCTTTTGATGCGGGTCCCAAGTTCTGCGGCTATTCAACAGCCTCTCATCCTCTGTCCTTACCATCTGCACCTGCCATCTGACTGCCAAGCTGATTCTTGCTTGCTTGTGTGCCCATGTATGTGTGTGCGCGACAGTGTGAGTGTCTGTAAGTAGTGTGTAAGTAGTGTGTGTGTGTGTTATACACCACTTCTCCCCACCTCTTCTCCATATATAACAAACATCCTCTCCCGCAATGTGAATGATCCATCGCGGCGTTGGGTACTACATTGTCCCTTTTGCGACACAGTGGAGCATGATTCATGCGAGTTGATTCATGAATTGGTGTCGCATTCATTCATGGAAAAATCAAATTGCTTTATTCTGAATCCCTATAGCTGAGTGCTGCACAGAGTAATAAACCCGAGAGGAAGCGAACGAGCTAAGCAGTCCAGGGGAGTTGTTGAAGGTCGTCTCCTCTTTGCCCATGCAACGCAATCCACGCAGCAAACGGCTACAAAATTGTGCTGCGCAGGACTGAAGCATAACAGTCACACGCTTCCACGGCGCTGCGCTAATGGCGATGGCCTTTCTATCTCTGTTCAATGCCAACCCCGCCTCCTCTTCTTCCTCTCACTTAATTATTAGAGGTTATTAACTATAATATGTAAATTAAAATTGTAATGTTTAATTGTTATTTAAAAATTAAAACACCAATCAATAAACTCAAATTGTCCAATCTCTATTCTTCTTATAACTATGAACTAATATGTAATTAAATTTATCTTGTAATTTTTAAAAAAAATAGAAAATGAGTCTTAATAGAAAATTATGAAATATATGTATTTATATATGTGTACTGCTATTGCCATCCAAACATGTCCTAAGTGCAGAAGCATGCTTTTGTAGTAAATTTAAGATTTTGTGGAAGTCAACTTATTTAATTTGATGTAAATAATTTTTATGTGTGTTTATATATGTGTGTGTGTATATAGATATATAGATATATATATAGTTTATATTTAATGTTGTGTTATTACCAGTTTATTTCTTTCATTTCGAAACAATTAAAATGCTCCAGACAATATATTCTTATACATTGGGAATATGGTTTGCATTTACAAAACCTTCAGTTTTTATAAAACTCTTCCCACACAATATCATCTGAAGTGGGTAATTAGCCATTCATGTCAATGCTGTTTTACATGAGGTAAAAGAGAGAAAGTGAGGGTTTTATCGTCCTTTTTCAACCAAGCTAAAAATTGCTATTTGCTTATTGAAAATTACTTAGAACTTCACGATTCAACACAGTAATGTTTGAAGCACAGATGTCAAAATGAAAGATGGAATGGCATGACGTAAACCAGGAGTCAGACCGTCTGGGCTTCTGTGGTGAGGGTAGAAAGTGTTAAATTACATTTGGCTAATAGGTCAATTTAAAATTGGTTACTCATAGACGTCAAAATCAAAACTGCCCATTGATATTAACATTCGCAGTGTTCTGGAATAATTGTATTACAATTTACAAAGCATTGTTCCAAAAACTACAATAAAGCTATTATATAACCAGCCGTAAAACTTCCTCCAACACACATATCGCCCCTATTTCACGTCATGCTCTAGAAGCGCATTAACAATAACACAGGATATTGACTGTTTTAGATCACAACTAACACGGTAAGTACAAACGGAGTACAGCGCACGCTCCAGAACAACATGCTCGTAGAATCTAAGGCGGGATCTGTAGCTCTAAAACTTTACTACTAAAAAAACTGGGCACCAGCTGAGGCACCTCAGTCCTTCAGAACGTTCAAACAAAAAATTTGGCCCATCCCGCAATGATGAATTCGTCAGCTGGCTTAGTCTTCTTAAAGGACTCTAGTGAATGGACAGCCTGCGAAACCCAACCATCATTAGACTCGATCTACACATGCCAAAAACAGCCATTCCCAATGAGGATCACGAAACGTAGACATAACGTGCACATTTTTACCCTAGCAAACTCAGATTCTATGGTAAATGACACCAACTAGTAGGTTATATTAGTTACATAGCCAAAAAGCTACTACAGTTTTGGCCGAACTAGTTAATTATCCCTAATTGTGCTAGTGCGCAGGAAAACCTTCCTTACACTAAGTGAAGTCCAGCTGATCACAAATGAGCAAGGAAAGCACAAAGACATGGTGCCAAGTGATGGGAGCTAACCTCAACGTAGCTCAACACATTGGTCAAATCCTCAGGTATGGACCACTTTTTGTAATGACCAAGAGCGACTGTCAAGTGGTGGAGCTTGGGGGCCAGCGCCAAGTCAGCCGCTGTCACTGCCTCGCCAGCAATGAAAGGTTTCTGCCAGGTAATAAAACATTTCATCAGTCTCTAAGGCCACAACCAGGGAACACTACATCTGACTAGACACACAATTCTTCATTTAGTCTGGGAAAAAGCACAATTGAAAGCCGCACACAACGCGTGAGCCTCAATCCTCACGTTCGATTTGAGATGTTCATCCAGACTCTTGAGCTCAGCAAGCAATGCTGCCTCGGTGCCATCGTTAGGGTCTTTGCTTTTCAAGAATGCTGCAAAATTTGGGAAGATCCTCGCACCTCTGCAAGGATGCAAGACTTTAACATTAAAAGGAGGACTACCAAAAACACAGAATCAGGCTACGTAATCGAATGCTTTGGTGAAGCCAACCCAGCAGAAGCAGCCAACTTGTTTGTGGCAACGCCGGAATCAAGTACTAACGGTTTGTCACTATGTACAGCACTTCTCATCATTGCCCCAAAAAGAACCTCATAATGACCCTCATTCACAGCACAACGATGACAGTACTCACGAGATCAAAATTGTTATGATACTGTTACATGAGAATATTCATAGGAAAGAGGCTTGCGCACAAATGATAACTCATGCGGCTAGCAAGAAATATCACGAGGACCAATGACGGCCAAAAGCATGTCAGTTCTGCCGAACTTAAATCTCACTTCGTCAGCAAACAAAGTCTGAATATCTCAAGAGTTCAAGGTGAAACTAGCATGTACTTCTGACGAATAAAAGCCTATGCATCAAGAAAATATACTTCGAGTACGACCACGGTTTGAAGATTACTCACGCGGAAGCCTTGTCCTCGGGCGTCTTCAAACAAGGCTCCGGATATTTTTCCTCAAGAAGCTGAGTGATGACATCCGAGTCAGCCACAAACTTTCCTTCATCCTTGATGACAGGTACTTTTCCCTCCGGATTGATATCTAAGAACCTGCCCAAATGCACATAAAATACAATGAAAGAAGAAATTAGAGACCAATGCCACTTAGTTGGTTCCATTAGAATAAACTGTCGACACAGTAAGTAGGTTTAGATAATGCAGCGGTATACCTGAATCTAACCGATATGTAGTAAACTCTGACCTCCTTTACTATTAACATTATATTGATGGCGAGTGCAGGTTTAGAATATGACGTGGTAACCACTTACCATTGAGGCTTGTTTGAAACGTCAATTAGTTTCATGTCGTATGGAACTTTCTTCTCCGCCAGAGTCAGCACCACCCTATGTGAAAAGGGACCTGCGGAAGTCAAAGCCCTCACACAGGTTACCTTCTGCTTCCGTAACAAATTCTGGTGGAAATAATTTCCTGGTTCAGATGCCTACACTTCAATGAGGCCCCTACCTTGATTGTCTTACATGACGAGACCCAGTGAGGACATGCAATTATCTTCATGACAACGCTGTTCTAAAGTCGAACGAGTCACTACCGATGAGAGGAAGGAAGAAACAATCGCCAAGTTTAGTTAACAATTCGGACAATTATTCTGCAGAAGACAACTTTACAGCAGTTGCTTCGATCAAAGACTACTCGCACCAACTTAAAGGAATAACAAAATCGAGAGTAGCTTCAGTCGGCAGGAAATTTTTTCACATAGGTATTCACCACCTAGGAAAGTTTTCTTTTCCTACGGAGAAATCTACAAGCAGACCCGTTCGTGGAAGTATGTATTGGCCTTTGTGGAGCAACCAAGTTAAAAAGAGGAAGCAGGTTATATTGTCTATGAACATAAGTCGCTTAACCTGAATGCATAGAACGGTCCTTCTGAAATGTTGGAAATGTGAACCATGAAAACGGAAAAGAGATATGCAACGGAATACGATGAGATCCACTCCATCATCAAACCTCTTAGAGGCACATTTCGACGATGAATGCTGGTACTACATTGATCTTATCAAGGGCCTAGAGTCTTTAGGTAGTACGTCAGTGACTGAGTGATACAGTTGACTCGTCATCCCAATTCAGATGTCAATAGTACTAACGAATTCCACCCCCAAGACTAACATACAACACATCCACTGGTAAATCGCGTGCAAGACATGCAGCAAAGGCTCATCACACACTTCAAAAATCTGACTCAATGGAACAATGCAAATAATGAGGATATCCTGCAAAAAACAGCTCCACGAAGGGAAGCAACACTCAAACTGAACAAAAGCTAAGAAGAGAAGAACGGAAAGCGCAGTCACACCTGCATTGTCACACCTACATCGACATACATTCAACGAAAGAAAAATACAGCCATGTAAAACCAAGAAACATACAGAGATTTCGATCGGCAGCGATAAAATTCAACACACACTACCAATCAGAAAGGAACCAATCCTATCAAACTCCCAATTCGACAACCCTAATCGAGCAACCAATCAGAAAGGAACCAATCCTATCAAACTCCCAATTCGACAACCCTAATCGAGCAACCAATCAGACCCACCAGGCAATCCAACCTGGAACGCAGAAATACACCAAATCAGGCACCCAAGGCAGGCCACTCACAATCACCGAACTTGTCCGGGTGCCCGACAGCGGCCTTGACGAAGACCTCCGTGGGTGCAGCCTCGGCAGCAGCAGCAGCCATAGCGACAATGCACCGTCTTCCAATACTCCGGCTCTGCAACCCAACAGCTCTCCCCACAAACTCCAACCGCAAGCCCGGAGAAGAACCTAACGCGAACTCACAAGCTCGGTAGGCGAGCAAAGGCGACGCCAGGCGATGCGACGACAGCGAGGCGCAAGATGGAACTCCACAGAGAGCCCGCATTGGAGTGGGATTATGAAGCACGGGGGGAGCTGGGTTGGGAGGCGTGATTCTCGACCGCAACGCGCGAATCTTAGTCTGGCAGAGTACAGACCGGTACAGTGAAATAGCTACTCGGGAGTGGCGATGATGCACCCCACCGCGGCATTGTCCCACATGTTTTATGCTGCTGCTGGGGTGCAGGGTTAAGCAAAGCCATGGCCTTGGCCACAGGCTTCTAATCTAGAGCAGGGTCACAATGAATGAATGAATGACTAACTAAATGGAATGGGTGGAAGGGAGTGAGGGAGGGAGTGAGCGGGGCACCTTTTATCTGTGGCTCTCAGTCCCAGTCTCACAATCCCATACGCATACAGAGATGTGTGTGTGGACTTCAGTACAATACTGGCACCCACACATACTCACACTCACATACAGTGCCTGATATACCACTGCTATGCTTGGCCTCTTGTCCCCCTCCCTATGGCTTTACCAGGCCAGATGGTGCTTTTCTGGACTGCTATGCTCATTGATTGCCCCCTTTTTCTGAGTTGCTGTTCCTATGGCGGTTGCTTAGTGGTGTTGGGTGATGTGATGTTGGACAAACTAGCCTCTACAACTAGCCTCTAAAACTCCCTCTTTTGGATGTGACAAATTTATTCTCTCTGTTTTTTCTTGACTTTTTTGTGATGGGTTTCTCTCACTTTCATTTTCAAAACTGTTTTTTTGAAACCTTTGTTTTGCATAAACTCAAGGCTGTAATCATGAGATAGTTTTTTTTTCTTTTCTCTTTTTTGTGATTTTAGTTGTTGTGTATATGTCGTGTGATATTTTATTTGTGATTTGATTACTTCACTGAACTGTGTTGAAATTAACATGGTTTGTGTGTTTAACAAGTATGGTTTATTTTTTTATATTAATTCATATGCATGAAGATCATAAACTTGCAATATTAGTATCAAATTATGAGACTTTTAGAAATAAAAAATCTGGAAAAAGAAAGAAAGAAAGAAAGAAAAAAAACATTTGTTATATATACAAAAATATTACATACATAAATAATGCAACTTACTATTAAAAAAAAAAAAAAAAAAAAAAAGGTAGAACATTGAGATTACAAGTATTTGTAATATTTGCAAGTAGAACATTGAGATTATTACAAATATTACAATCTTAGATGTGGCACTTCTAGAATCTTAGGAGTGATCACTTAGAACTAGCTTGCTTATTCATTCATGTAATATTAATATTAAGTCAATTAACAAAATTTTAATAAAATTTATAGCCGTGACAAGACTATTGAGAAGTGGAAGACAAGGAGCCTTCTCTATTTGACTAAGATCCTAAGGTGGCACACCATACCATTGACATAAACACCTTTGGTGTTATCTTTATGCCATGTCATGTCCAAGTCACTATTTGAAGGAAATTCCACTTGTGAAACTTATAATAAACCATTATAAATTGGTAGGTGGGAGTTTTGTCACAACTTCTTCTATTATACATCTTTTTTTAAAGTGTGTCATTATACTTTGAATACAACAATGAACTTGCAATGATTAGTACTTATAAAGTTTTGATAATATAAAATATATATATATATTACTCTTTATTTCAAGTTGGAGACCTCATACTAAACCAATTGAGGTAATAACTACAAGCTACAGAATCTTCAAAAATTCAAAATATTTTAAAAAATGGCTTGAAAGTTTTTATGACCCCAAGACATCATGAGATTGACTAGCACTCCCACCACACCCACATCTAGCAAAAGTGGATTTTTAAGGACCCACTAACAACAACTACAAATAATACATAAATATTTTTTAAAACTTCACAAAAGAATCTCATGTCCAAATCCCAATAAGACATAGCAACGAATCACATTTGAAACGTGTGCCTACTGAGATTTTGAATATAGTCTTGGATGGCTTTTAAGGAAGAAAAGAAGAACATCGCATAAGTCACGGAAGAGTGGTGTCATCTTACCGTCGGAGCGACTTAATGCAGACACACTGTCATGTCATGGGTGAGTATGACAACAATGAAATAGTGTCACCATGTTGGACAAATTGTGAAACTCGCCCATAACTTTAAGCTCAGTGTGAAGGTGCAAGGGAGTGGGTGTCGGTGTTGAAAGAGAGATCAGGGAGGCTGCACAGCTATTCTTCTGGGTGTACACTTTTCTCCGGAAACACTAGAGCTTATGTTAAGAGTAACAGTCAATTTGAGACTGCAGTATTACATGCTGCCACTGAGATTATTTATTCAAGCGATGTCTGTGTCGGTGAATAATCAACAAAGTTCTTGTGTTGGCGCGCGGAAGTTTTGCATTGGAACAACGCAAGGTGACCTTCCGTGAACATTTGTCCCCTTTCTTTCAGTCAGTGATGCACTAAATTGAAACAGAACAAAAGTCTCTACTCGATTTTCACAGGAGCTAGTTATCAATAACGCAGTTCAGTTGCTAATCTCTCATGCCTCTTTGTTTGAGTTCATAGAAGTTGAGTAGGCTGAAGAGGGTGGGGAATTTCGGTTTTGCATGCAGAAATATTAGGGCTGCTGCACCTGGGGACAACATGAAAGGCAGAGATCGAGGGTGGTGACAAGATCATTCTAGTAATTCTGATCAGATGCAGCAACGCAGGCGATGGTCGGGGTCTCAGTCGTGCTCATCTCCGATTAAAAACGACAGAAAGGAGTGATTGTCAATCTTGACAGAGGATACCAGAGTAAGTTGGATATTCTACTACATAACTCTTCAATTGACTTCATCGACACCAAAGACATGGGTTTGATTCAGTGCTGAACATGATAGTGATAATTGGAGGTCATGGAACTTGCCTGTTTGCAATAATTGATTGTATCTGATACAATCAAGCCCAGATGTTGAGTTGCTGATTTGCAGGTTAAGAGCTAGAAATGTAGAGGCTGTAAAATTTGTCCAGGGTGCAATGAGGAGATCCTGCTGAAGGGTCCGTCTAAAGTAGCCACCTGCTGCTCAGCTGTGTAAGCTTTTGCTCGCATTCCCTACTCACATTGCAGATTCGAATTGGTCAGAACAGGTTGAATTATTTTTGGTTCGACCATTACCCTTAATGTTGTCAACTACATTTCAGGAGAACTGAAGTTTCGAAGTTGGGTTGAAGATTTCGAATCTTTTTCTCGAACAGCTTCGTCACAGGCTGGCGAAGAAATGGAGCTGTGGTGGAACATACTCTAGAAGTCGCCGTTGTCCCTATTGCAATGGTCGCAGCAGCTGGAGGCCGTCGTAGACGTGTTCAGGATATGTGATTCAGCTCAACTACATTTTCTTCTCTGATTATGCACGCTTGAATAGAGTGATTGTCTGAGGAGACGATTGCTGGATGCGAACGCATCCTCAAAAATTTTGTATTATCCCACGAGTCCGATAAGTTTTGATCTAATGTGATCAGTCTTGCTCGCAGCGTCTGGTTGAAAGCTCGTCACGATCTCAAGCTCTTGTGATACCGAGTTTTGGGAAACTGATGTCTCGCCAGCTGATGTTGCAAGAAGTCTCACCAGAGTAAGGATGAGGAAGGGGAAGTGCGTGAAAGACATTCTTACGCAGCACCAAATTGTTTCACTCGCGGGACAACGATTTTGTTCATGTCATGGCACCAAGTTCGCCACTCTCACTTTACCGAATCTACCTTGTTATCTGCAGCCATTGAGTGGTACTCACGAATGATGATGACTAGCACGAACTAATTTGGCGAATTCCATTGTCACTCATTTATTAATGGTGCATGCTGCCTTGTCAGACACGATCGCATCTACCCATCAAACAATTTGGCCTTGTAATGAAACTCGAAATTGCTGAACCTGGTGACGGTCTACCGTCTGACTGTTGCATCATTTAGAAGGGGCCTTCAACGGTCGTTTTCGTCTGGGTTGCAAAAGAGAGATTCTGAACTTTGCACGTGAAGCTGCAGTCTAAATGAAGATGGTGCAGGTCGCCTTTTTCTTCCTGCATTGCGTGCCAGTGTTTAAATAACGTGCACATTGCTGTGAAGATGTTATAACTCTGATCTCCCGACACTCAAGTGCTCACAGGGCATCAGTAGGACACTGAGAGGACATTGAGTAGAAAGTCAACTGCCAATGAGTCCAGACAGTGTCAGAGATGATACAGAAAAATGGACCAGTAATCACCTTCGTGTACCAGGTTTGTAAATAAAATGATGCACAAATATGTACAGAAGAGCGATGCAAATATTAATCGCTGCTGCCCTGTTGATCAATCCTTACATTTCACGACTTGCTAATCAAATCCCCGGATGCAACTCTATACCAACAGATCATCCTTTGCGAAGATCATGTTGCATAAGCACAGCATTCGAGACAGCACATCTGTTGAAACGAAAAAATATTATCGACGAAAGATACCCATTGTGTCCTTCGCGATCAACATGGACGTGAACGAAGTAACATTTCTATCGATTCTCGTCAACCTCAAGCTGGACGCCAGGCTAATGATCGAGAATCCATGGAAAAAACTATGAATGTAACACCTTCTCTGAAAAAACCGCACGAGTGCGGTACTGAGCCTTGCGAAATGAACCATCTCGAGGATGGCAAAAAAGGTTCACCGCTGATCCCACGCTCAACGTGGGACTAGTCCTATTCCTTGTAAACCTTGACCTTTGAACAATACTTGGATTAAAGACCTTGATACCGCCAGACTTGGAACATCTTCACTGGAAGCCACGGAAATGTTGCAGCTAGCTTCGGAGAAAGTCTCTATGATACACGGCGTTGCCAGGTATCCACCTTCGAATCTAGCATTTTTGTTTTTGTTTGTTTTCTTCTTTTTGTGCAAGCATGGCAAAAACCTTACTCAAATGGGTCAAAATTTGACTGATCGAGTCGTCTTCGTCAAGGCGACGCTGAAGTCGACGAAGAGCTACCCCAGTGCCGCTCTTGGCTACCTGTCAGACCAAACCTTGCTATCCTGTGCGCTGCTCCCTGGACTGCGACGGAGACGCATTTCTCACGATGAACCTCGTTGAACTTAACTACGGCAATGAAAATTCTATGTATAATCAAATGGATGGGCGGGAGTGCGTCGATTGGTGAAAGCTACGAGCTGCTGGAGGTCCTCTTCACGAATCTGCCTTTCATGCGAGGGCGTCGCTCAGCATTCACCTTCCTGACCTCGTACCGGATCTTCTTCGAGAACAGTCGCGTAGCGCGCTTCTCCTTGTAGCGGAGTACTCGGGCATCCCTGTCGCCGCCGCTCTGACTCTCATCGGCGGTTACTGCGTCCATGTCTGGGACTAGACCAACATCACTGCCTGAGGAGATCGAGTCATCGGATGAGATCCATGGCTCGCCTCTGTTGGACCATTCAGCCAGAATGTCTTTCATGTTCAACTTGAGGGAGGGCATGTTCAAGCCCTCGTGGTCTCCCTCGCGGCAGCACTTGAGCATCTCCATGGCTTCTCTTTTCACCTGTTCGGGAGAAATTAGCTCCTGAGACTCGGCTTTAGGCTTCTGAGCAAAGAACTTGGCGAAGGGACCGGCCGTGATGTGGTCGGGTTCTGCTGGATTGGGTTTGTATTCGAACTTTGCGGGTTCGGTTGCTTCGATAGGCGCCTCCAAACCATTCTGAAGCGCGAGGTCGAAGGTCAGGGAGAAGTCGTCTGTGAGGCCCATCTCTGGGACGAAGCTCTCGAATCCATCAAGCCCGGGAATATCACCAGGAAGAAAAAATGCCTCCCCTGAGAGGTCAATGTTTGCATCGGCAGGGGTGGTGGTCGCGACTGGCATGTCGACATTGAGACAGAAGTCGAAAGCGTCCGGAACTAGAAACTGGTCGCTGTCATCGGAGAAGGTTTGTGAGTGAGCTGCTTTGCCCTTGAAGTAAGACGCAAACGAATCGGCTGAAGCCAAGTGATCGCTCTCCTGAATTTCATAATCCGATGAAAGCAAGTCATAATCGGAGGAACAGGGAGAGTCAGGGTCCATTACAGTAGACAGAGATGGGACCTCCTGGTTTCCGTTGTTGAGGAATTCATCTGTGTCGAGGAAATCGAACAGCTCAAGCTCTGCCTTTACAGCAACAGAATCCTCGGACTTCATCATGTCCTTCGAGACCATCCTGGTCAGCTTCCTCAAGTGGTGAGAATACGGCTTGGTCACTTTCGAGCGCTTGCGTGCAGGCTGAACCTGCTTAGGAGCTGGGTGCAGTTTCTTCATGCGGTGAATACCACAACCTGCCTCATCTGGGACCTTGGATTCCTTGGCCAGCGAAAGCATGGGCGTGCCATTGGGGGAAAGACGAACTCGCTCGTGGCGAAGTGACAGCGCGTTCGCAGAGTGCACCTGCGTGTCACATGCCGTGCACAAGTACGCATCATCTGCCGAGCAAAACCAGTGCGCATTCTTCTTAGCGCAAACATCGCAAGCTCTCACAGCACGCCCTGCGAATGCCATGGCAATGGCTACCGAGCTGTTAGCGACCTTGGTCGCCATAATCACTCTATTTGGAACTGAACCAAATCCTTCAAGTGATTCCTCACCACCTGTGCTGAGCAACACCACAAGCACGACAACAGTCGCAGCAACCCCTGCAATCTTGACCTTCTGAACCGAATAAATATTTCGAAAAGCCCGTATTCAGACTGTTTCGTATCTCATACGAAAAAAATGAAAAGAAACAGATCCTGTGCTACTTGGTCCCTCAAAGGATCTCCGTTCCCTTGATCAATTCTTAGAAGATTCAGAGCCCATTCCAGGAACTTCCAAGACTTTCGAAACAAATTCTGTGTCGACAAATTTAGTAAAAGAGGGGCTCCTCCAAACGTAGCTGGTCCTCACGCCCTGAATGAAACTATCACAGATGCCAAATTCTCAAATGATCCAGTACCCCAGTAAGCTTCCTTCCACAAACGGATAAATTGCTGAGAGATTACACACCTTGAAAGTAACAATAATAAAAAAATGGTCATAAAGCAGAACTTCGACTGTCAAATACTATGACACAGACACAGTTGTTATCGGGTTTGGAAGTGTCCGGGAGGGAAGAGGATCCAATTCTGTTCCTGCGACGGTCTTGTAGAGATTGGCAGGTGACTCCAAGAGACGGACTAGACGGACTAGACTTGGAAGGGCTGTTTGAGCACGGAAAGTGTGCATCAGTGCGGGGTTTAGTAGCAGAGCGGATGAGCATAACAGGGTGGATTTCTGGAAAAGCGCTCACCGCGCTTGAATGCGAAAAGGGCATGACAGTGGCCGAGAAAAGAGGGCCCACAACGCTCCGCCAGGCCCCTCCGCCCAATCCCGCACGTCCGCTTCTAACAAAGCTCACCCGCGACGCGCCTGACGGCCCAGATCCAGGCCTTTTCCATACAGTCCTCCTAAATCATCACATTTAATGAGTTTCTGCTATATTATGCTCGTGTGGGGTCTACAGCCAATGCCCTCCACATAAGCGCCAGCATGTGCCCTCACACTGAGCTCGAATTCCAACTCTCCGAGTGACCATCCCCAACTTGGTCGCTGCTTCTCTGGGGCAATTCTGAAGCTGGAGCTGGGTCCATTACCCATCTTCGTCTCTCCCTCCCTCTCAAGTCGGTGTTTCCCCATCCACCCTCCTGCTCCCTTGTGTACAAATCTTCCCTGTCTTGTTTCGGTGGGTCAAATGAGATCGATTCCACTTGAATCACAGTCACCGGATCTCTCTCGATCTATCCCCGCGTCTGTCCACAAAGATCTTTCGAGATCTAGATGACTTGTGGGTGGGTCTTCCTTCGCCCACCGAGACACTGGTCTGGGGTTTTGTCTTTTGACATGTTGGAAAACTATGACTTTTAATATTCTGTGTTGTATGTTTCGTTAAAAATGCTTCGTAAATGTGCTTGTACATGAGTGGGTGATAAAACACAAACACAAATTGGCCCCTCTGTGTTTTAGGACGTTTAATCTGATGGTCTCTGGAGTGCAGTCCGAAATTGCAATTTATTGTCATTACTAAATCAGTTGTTTAGTAAAATTATATATATATATATATATATATATATATATATATATCATGTGGTTTTAAAAGTAGCTCTAAAGAACATTTACTCTTAACACTCAGGTTTTGCTCGCAATATTGTATTTTTTAATAAGGAACTCAAGTAGATTACACCAAAAAAAATAAAAAATAAAAAATAAAAAAAAATCTATTTGATGATTTAGAAATTGCACGCTGATAAATGAGATATGTACATGAAATTATTATATGGATTTTAAAAACTAACATCAACGCTTCCATAACTTCATTTTTTTAACGTGTTAACACTAATGCAATTTTTTGAGGGCAATTACAACCACACAAAAATAACAAGTTATGATGAAATAAAACATAACATGCAGACGACAAAAACGAATAAATTCAGAAAACTATTCACAAAGCATACTCTCGAGGGCGGAAAGCAAAAGTGTTGTTGAAATTATAATCAAAGATGCAGGGCACCCAAAAAGATCAAATGATTTAAAGGAGATTTTTATTAGCCATTAAAAAAATAAAAAAATAAAAAAAATAACTTCCTATCAAAACCAACACCTACTCACATACAATTCAACTTCCACTAGAAAGCCCCTTCTATTTTAAGAATGGAAGAAAGGCAGAAAACATAAACACAAAAAATACAAAAATGCAAAAACCTCAAAATCTCCAAACAAAGATCACTCCATCTTGGGGGGCAGAAAAATCCATCCAGAGTCCAAAGAGACGATGCTAATGCAATAATTGCAAACTATTTGTCAGCGATGAGCATGTGAAGTTTAGGGTTAGCAAGATACAATCCACCGAAAAGCTATTTTTGCTTATCAGGTTTGTTGCTCACTTAAGAAGAAAGCTTTCTAACTTCATACTCGAGGACGTAACGACAGCGATGCTGGATCGATCAGGAGCAAAGTGATGGCATTCACGTCGACGCCTATCCCGATGCGCAGCATCCCTGGCTTCGGTGCCGCGCAATGCAGTGAACTTCGCAACAACCTGATCGAAACCAGGACCAGGTTCCCAGCCCTATTCATTCATTACTGCCCTGAGCGCCCGCGTCCGGAACATAGCGCTGAGGAATTGCTGCTGGAGGCATTCGCGGAGACATTCTGGTTGGGATGTCATCATCGGCCTTGCCTGTTTTGCACAAAATGTGCACAAAATGGGGAGAATTTTAGAAACCTTGCTTCGCTGGGTCTAGATCGCGCGTGGGGAGTTACTAGCCTGCGGTGCATCGACCTGGTTCCCTATCGGCTTTGCGTAAGCTGCAGTGCCCGCACCGAGGACATCGCTTGAACAAGTGGGGGTTGGAGGGGGAAGGGGGGGGGAGGAGAAATAGACATTGACAGAGATAGACAGAAGAACCGTAAAAATCTGCCGAAACTCCACCGAGCTGCTATTCCGTTCCGTAACTATGCTGTAAATGTTGGAACCAGCAATGATCCGATTCTTTTCAAATTTTGACGCCATGTTGTCGTGTACATCGGCAACAAAGAGGTAGGTTTGCAGTAAAGAGCTAGATTTGCTTTTGAGGCTACAGGAAAGGACACTTGCTCCATACCCTCTAAGCTGCAAGTGTCCGCCGGAAGGGGGTAAACCCTGGTGAAACTGAGCCCTCGGATTTACCAAGATATGAGGCATCGCGAGCATTCTATACGTTGTCCCTTTTTTGACATGGGTATGTTTCTTTTTACAATACGTTTGTCATTTGTTTGTCCGGTGTTGTGGAAAGTAGAAACCAGTGCACCATCAGATTGCTACGGAACTACGCGCCTCTATGCTTTGCACATGGACGAGAAAGCGCATTCTCGTACATTGTCGATCACCCCGCTGTAACAAGGAATTTTTTTATGATTATTATTATTATTCTTGTATTTACTTGCTGTGCAGAAATGCTGTTGCTAGTTTTGCTCGGTGTGGACAGGCCTTCATGAGATTCCAGCACTTTTGCAATCACGTCGTTTGCATGGTATCACTTCACTCGTTGCCCATCTCGATCATAGATATCCACTACGGCAAAGGCTACCGTGATTGGAATGCATCCTTGGATTTTTCTCAATCTTTCGTGCAGAGTCCACCCTATTTTTATCGCAGTGGGTGCTCTTACCAATCAAAAAGTCAGTGGAAATTTGGAAAAATGAAACCAGTCATTCGTGAGTGCAAAACAATCCACTGTGGCCTCGATTTTAACTCTCTCAAGTTACGGCGTAGGTTACCTAGATTGTAGGTGTCAGCAGGTGGACATTTTTCTAGCCGAAAGTTGTATTGATAAAACGATGAAATCAGGAAACAGCAGCTTTCATGTGCTCAGAACGAAATTGCCTCATGCTCTTTCCCACTGTTGGCTCTAGATAATACACAGTTTGTTGTTTTCTAATCTACTCTAGACCCTAGAAAGTTCTACTCCCACTTTCGGAGAATTGAAGGGGAGTGTTTTCATGTGATTAAATAAATGCAACCAGATTAGAGCTGCAAAACCTGGCCCACCTAAAGGAGAACATCTCTTTTTGAAAACCCGCTGATATCCTTTCCCCCTCGAGCTTGATGCTGGTGAGGAGAAACGTGGCTCATGGAAGCAACAAAAAATCTTCAGTTCACAATTAGTCAAAGTTTCATTTTTAGTAGTTTTCGTTTTCTATATTTTTGTTGCTATTCCTTTTCTTTTCTCTCTCTTTCAATTTCAATTTCTTTTAGAGCAGATGGAATGGCTTCTGTTTCATTCTGACCAACATTGGTGTAATATTACATACAAGATTCGCGTTTGCAATTAGATGAATTCTATGCCTCTCAGAACCTCTAGGACATTCCTTTCGAAGGGCTACTATTCCTAGTGACAACGATGAGTCCAAGGAAATGGAGAAAAATTGGTGAAACCCGAATTTCATCCGAACACCTAATTATGGACAAAATTGGCAATAAGAGGAAAAGCACACAAACATGGCTAAAAAAACATGTCAACGAATCTCTTCAAGATTTTCCCATTAACTAGCTCTACAAACAGGCCACTGGTTCAAATTATGATGACTACAAGTTAATGTAAATCTCATGTATATTAGTTATTGTAATTAGATAATGTAAGTTAGCGAATGTTAAAACACACTTGAAATGAGGTTAAAAATTACTCTAGTCATTATGTTAAAACTTGTATATTACATTTCACTATAATTTAAAATTCTCATTGCATCATTTTGAATGCTTTTTATAGATAACAATGCTTTAAAACTGTGTTAAAGTACTAATTATGCTGCACCCAATTGTTGTGATGATGATTTTTTCTTTCAATACCATAGCAAATTTGGTTCTGCAATGTGTTTGGAATCCAAGGTAGACAGAAACCCAGAGGTCTCCCAAAATCTAATTGTTTCTTAAAAAACATACTTTAAAGAAGACAGACCAAATGAATTTATAAGAACCGTAGATTCTTTTTTGCTGCAATGAAGATAAATGCCAATTGAAGTTGTATAGGTGCCCAACTTATCTTCCCTCAAAACAAAAATGTAACAATAAAATCAGTATGTTTAAAATGATGTATTTGTTTTTTTTGTTTTTTTTGTCCATTTGTGATGTATATGTGTGTATATATAGATATGAATTGAATGAAGAAAAAAAACTGAAGTCCGTACACAGCCTGGATGGTTCTAAGATATAGTTAATTTTATTTTAATAAATATAAAATGTGCAAAATGAATTTGGAAAGAACAAAAGCAATTATTTTTAATTTTATTTCTTATTTTCTTACTTACTTATTTATTATTCTACTTATTATCAACATGTTTTATATGAATGCATGTTTTATATGAATGCTTGATGTACATGCAATCAGATCTCCTGTGTTAGCCCTTAAAATTCATCACACAAGAAATAAAATCCCTTGTTCCTTGATCTATCATATATTGCTACAAAGCTACTCTTTCACTTTTTTTTCTTTTAATATGTTGTATGTGTTGGTAATTTTTTGAAAAGAATGGTTCCTTATTTTTATGTAAATTAATGCAACTACTCCATCAAAAGGCTCCACATGTTATGAATGATCACCAGTTTAATGGGCACTAATCTATAAATCTGACCCACTAATCCATGAAATCTTCAGTTGCAGAATTGAACCACAAGTTTCACAATCTGAACTACTAGTTGTAAGGATTAATCCTTTTATAGAGTGTTGTGATC